CAGCTGCAGCACTGCCTTTCAGTTCCCAACCCAGATTAGAATCAGACTGGAAGAGGGGAAAACAACCTACTTCTTCTTCAGCACAGTTACCCAGACATCAATGAAAGAAGAAAACACAAAAAACCAGATCTTATCTGAAAACAGCTTTTCATGTCATCACTTCACCAGTTCTATGTAGGACAATTATGTTTACAAAATGCAGGTAAAGGCTTTATATGAAACACCATTCTTAGTGCATAATTGACTGATTTTAATACATGCTTATAAGAAAATCAAATATAGGTACTGGTGGCCATACCAGTTGCACAAATAAGCAGTACAACAGAATCCATAGATCGTTGCACTATTAGTCTACTACACTAGACACTCCTGAAGAGATCCTAATTACTTCACTAATTATTCTCTAAATATTCTCTAAATAAGGCAAATATTCTCACATTTAAACCCAAAGTGCCATCTGTTTTCTGTTGTTTATGCAACCACTTTCTACGAATAGTCCGATTTCAATATGAAAATACAAGAAAGAAGGAAAAGTTGGGAGATGAAATACAGAGTTGACAAACAAAAGGTAATGCATAATAAACAAAGTGATATGAACTACTGAGTCATCCTGCTTGAATTTAAATGCAGTACATCAAACTTGGGAAAAAACCAAACAAACGAGGCTTCAATGTAGACAACTGAATTAGAAGAGTGTCAAGTTCAATGTCAGTGAAGTCTGTAAATACTGGAAGTATACAGTTAACAAAAACCCCATAAGTATGTTGGGTTTTTTTACATGCATTCAGGTGGAGCATTATTCCAGTCAGTCTATCTGAGAATGAATTTTACAAGAAAAACATTCAGAGAGAAATAAAACATCCAAAATACATTTGTAGATAGGTAAACTGTTTGAGGGGAAGTAATAAGGAAATGCTACTAAGAAAAAAAATCATCATTATGTTCATGGTGGATAAGAATAGAAGAGGGCTGGACTGTGTGTGGCTGAGATGGAATTCATTTTCTTCATGGGAGCCCATGTGGTGCAATGCTTTGGATTTGTGGCTAAAACAGAGTGGGTAACACCAAAGTTCTGACTGTCGCTGAGCAGTGCTTGCATGACTCAAGGCTTTCTCAGTTCCTTACTCTGTCCCTGACAGCAAGCAGGCTGCGAGTGAGCAAGCCTTTGGGAGGGAACACAGCTGGGGCAGCTAGCTCAAACTGGTTAAAGAGACAATTCATGCCATATATCATTATATTCGACAGTAAAAACTGGGGTTTTGTCTTCCAAAGTAGCTGTTGCTCAGAGACTGGCTGAGCATCAGTCGCCAAAGCACCCCCAAAAGATTACCAAACTTCTCATGACATACATTTCTTCCTTCCACTGTACTGACTATCAGTGTGGAACACTTATTACAGGGAAAAATACATACACTTACGTGTATATTTACACACATATGTGTGCATGAACATCATAAAAAAGCATCAGTTATTTTGTTTTTACTGTTGCATTTTTCCAGTTCAACATTGCCAATCATCCTGAAGGACCTGGTCCCCATCTTGCCATAATTACTTTTCTTTTTTACCTCTGCGATAGAGTTTGCTTTCCTCGTTTTTACAGTTAAACATATCACTACTTTACTCATTATACTCATTACTTTAAGAATATGGGCACATCTTTGGCCCATGACAGCATTGCAGTCACTCAGATTCAGACCACGTTTTGCCCACCATCCTTAGAACTGCTGTATGATTCATGTTGTAAAAAAAAAAAAATGCATCTGATACTGCCATTAAGAACTCAAGGTCAGAACACACTGATGATGTCAACAATTTTCCTTCAGCTTACTGTCCTAAATTTGAGACCCATATTTCCTCTTGCTTATCCTTTATCAATTTCATAAATATATCACTACAATATTCAAACTTTTTAACCCGATGAAAAATAGTTTCCTTATATTACCCTTCTCATACATTATGTTATAAGGTTCTGATTTACACTGTCCCATCATCTCACAATTTTTTGGTCATTTATTTTAAAGTCTAATTCTTATTAGTTACTTCCCTGTGTAGCTTCATGAGCAGTTAAAAACTAAAGTTACTGCTTTTCTAGATGATTTCCTACATCAATCAATACCTTATCAAATAGTTCATTCACAGTGGTCTCCAGAAGCGTTGGCTGTTCTTTCACATATGAAACACACATGAATAATAGAAGAATACATTCAGGATTTTTCAGAACAGTTTTCTCCATTGCAACTACAATTAGTCTCTGTTAGGGCTGGTGGAGAGTTGAAAAATTCAGTAAAAATATCTTTTCTTCCTCCTTTTTGCTTGGATACAGGAATTTAGCTCGTAGAAACAATGTCCCATGGTAAGGTCAGTAAACAGATCTTGTTCAGTACCTATTACTACAGGCATAAATATCTGACTTGTATTTAAAAATTCTCATTCTGTGTACTTGTTTCATTTTGCAACCAAATCGTCAGTGCTAAAAAACATAACAAAAATTTAAAAATATAGTTCCTCTAAACCATACCGGCACTCCTAGAATTTTAACTTTTCCATGGTAGGGTTTTCCTGGGAAATACTTTCTACACAAGGCAACCCTAATTTAAGAACTTAATTTTGCCAATCAACATTTTAAATTAACAGTGGACAAGATGGTAAGAGGAGAGGTAGTCTACTAAACAGGAGAACTGGTGCTAGAATAACTGTGCAAAACCACATCTGAGTAAAGGAAACAAACTATCAAGGAAACTTAGACTGATATCTCAGAACAAAGGAGGAAGGGGATAATTTATCCATCGTTTTACAAACACGGGGCAGATGCTGTAACTCAACACAGACAATCACAGTCAACTCATTTGACCCAGTAACAGAAAGGAAAATATGGCAAAGCCTGAAGATGCTGAATAATAGTCTGGATGATTCACTCATTGACATCTCATTCATTATTAATTAAAAAAAAAAAGAAATCCTGTAGCAGCACCAGCATATAACACTCTCCTCTACAATTCAGTTCACAGGAGTTGAAGAGACATGCTGTGATCTGGCCAAGCTTTTGTTAATACTGCTGTACTGGTTCTGAACTGTCTGAGTTTACCTCAAAGGTATCTTTTGCTTAGAGCTCTGGGCAATTCCAAAATCAGTTCTACATCATGTACACTGCAGCTCTTCCCACCTTGCTGCAGATCACTCACTGAGTTTGTGGTAACATGTACAATATATATATTAGTTCTTTTATCATTAAAGTATCTATAATTAAAGTATCTATAATGAAGTCTTTCAAAAGAAGATGATGAAGTCACACTTCTTTCATACTTAATTTACTGTACTAGCAAATCTACCTAACATTACTACAACTTGTTCCATATCTTGTCAGATTTAAAAAAAAAAAAAAATCCATTTATTTATTCATTTGGACTAATACATCTTTCAATGTATTTAGTCAAAATGGATTTTAGAAGATGAGAGAAACTCCTGGGGAAAAAAAAAAAGGCAAAACAAAGAAACCTCAAAGAACCACCTCTTCCATTTGAGATCAGTTGTTATATAATTCTTGGCAATTCTGAACAATACATTAAGATCAGAGATATTCAAAAAAATATATTAAACACACCAGATATTATAGTATATAGCTTTCAATCTGTATCTTATTTTTCATCACTCTTTTGAAACACTCCATAAATATTAAAGCATGTATTTTCAGGTCTCCTCCAAGAAAAATATATGCTTCCATTACTGTACAGAAAAGAAACCAAGTTAGATATGGTTTACAAACAAGACTTACTCATCAGAAGTTTTGTGACAGAGAGTGAAGAACTTAAAACTACTGAATTATAGCTGCTTAACTGTAAAACTATTCATCTCTCTGCTTTTGTTCTGAAGAGTCAATCTAAATGCTGTATTTGTCTATGAGTTTCTGGGTGCCAGAATCTACTAAACAAATTCTATCAGGTTTCCATAGATGAAAGAGACTGAGATGAAACAGCTTCTCACACACAATCTGGTCTCTTTGATTACATTTACAGGCCCTCCAGTCATTCCACAACCCCACCAGACTTTTACTACACCTTTCAAGCTGTGACAATTTAGATAAGTGAGACATTAAATAGCTCATTATAAGTCCACTTCTGCACCACAGGAATTGATGGCAGCATTGCCATAGACTTCAATGGGAGCTGGATTACAGTTCAAAACACATCACGTACACATTCATCAGAAACATTTTAAAATTCAGAGACTTTCAAAACTTCTTCAAATCAGTTATACTGAACCAGTTTTATCTATATCAGGAAGAGGTGGCAGGACAGTTTTGTAGAATACTACAAAAAGCTATCGAAATGCAGCTTTTCTTGTTCTGCCGTCTTCATCCAAATCTCTTGCTATGACTTATGTGACAACCAATCGTCAGGAAGTGAAAAGCCATTTCCAACAAACATAACATAATAGAATAAAAAGATCAGGGACAAACAACTTACAAAATCGTCTTCTGAGACAGGCAAAATATTTATCTGCTTGAAACTGATCTGCTTTGAAGCAGCTACCACAATGCTCATAATTGCTCCAGCTTATAAGAAATCACACAGGTAATTTAGTTTACAACATAGTCCTGTATAGTCAGAATGAGACATATTCCAAGTGGGTATGCATTTCCTTCTCTCTTACATGAGACCAAAGAGGCAAAGTGTAACCAGCCTCACAAATTCAGTATTTTTCAGACTGTTTCTGTTGTCCCAGCAACCAGAAACTGCTAAGAAATCTCCCTGTGAAAAATAATTAAATAGCAGCAATACTGAATATCTATAAAATTATTCAGAGATGAGATTACCTTTTATCTTCATTCACCACCTATGACAAACATAAACATACCAATCTAGCCACTCAGCATCATGTCTCTTAGCTAGAGACAGAAAATCCAAAGATGTAGTAATCTTTCCACAAGTCTTGCTGACAATATTTTTGAGATTCATTACCACTGAAAATCCCCTTAAAAAGGTATTAATAAAATACCATACCAGTGTAATGGCAATATAGCTCCTTTCCTCAGCATTCCCAAAGGGCATGGAGCAGTATGGGTGTGATACAAGGCAGCAGACAATCTTCAGTGACCCAGATAAAGAGGAAAGTTGATGTCCCTCTTTCTTGAAAATCCCATCCTGCACAAAAAGGAGAAAGATACTCATGAAGTTCCCTGTAGATAATATAGGAGCAAGGTTTAGAGGTCCAATTTTTAATTTTTTTTCCCCTAAAAACGCAGCAGTGAAGTCATGGACATTAAAAATGCGTGCTTTTTTTTTTTTTCATTTGGAGAAGTGTGTGTTTTAAAATTCTTCCCTCTGTTGCTACAGATCTTTGTTGCATTAAGAGAAGTGTCAATGGTGGAAGAGGCTACTGTTTCCTAGATGATTGTCTCTTACCCTTTTTCACTGTAATTTAGTCATCTTTTCTTCAAAACTACTTTTTGCACATGCTACAGGGTATTTCCAAGGTCAGAAATTAGTGTTTTGGGACTCTGCATTTCTTTTCTTTTTTGATTATTCATTTTTTTGTGTCCACGGAGGTTTTTCGCTTTTCCAGATAAGACATTCAGAAGGGTAGTTTACTATGTTCAGCAGATTGTCTCCATTTAACAATCCCCTGGTGATATCTAGAGCTCAGTTACCATATCATCTTAGAGGTACAATTCTTTCCAGATAACAAAAAGGAGTTACCTCAAAATAACATGCCTAGAGTGATGGAAATTGCAGCCATCCCTTAACACCAGTTTGAGGAATAGTACAATATTTTTAAGAAACTGCTTGCCAGCTGAGGTCTTAATACCTTAGTTTTCACTACTTAGGAATATCCTAATCTAGAGCTGATTTGTTTAAACACACATAATGGAGAGTTCTTGTAGTGATACATGACAGTGATTAAATGGTCACTTTAAATGCTGATTTTCTTTTAAAATGTATAGCCTTAATGAATCAAACATCAGCTATTTCTTTACAATTATATTTTAGTAAGCCCTATATTAATAATGCAGCACTCCACTCACTTTACAGAGCTGATCTTATGTGGATCATATAGAATAGCACAGCAAACTCATGTACATTGTTGGCATCAGCAGCCATCGAACCAGCATCATCTGAATCCCATACTGCAGTTGTACAGAAACAGTACCAGTTGCCCCACAGATTTTTGGAAATGACATCCAGAATATCTTCTCAGATAGCACTGTACTTTCCCGTGTCACCTTCATTGAGGAAAATTCCTGCAAAAGGAATTAAGGTTGAACAATCATGACTATAATTCCAGGTCTTTTCTTTGTATTTAAGGATCATATTACTGTATACTTCAACTTTTTTAATTCAACGGTGTTTTGGCCTAGCAAAGGAAGTAGATTAAAATAAAAGTATATAATGCACTTAGATTCTGATCAGTAGTTTGCAAAATATTTAATTTCTTGAATGAAATAGGGCCAAGGAACTCAGATAAATAGTACCTCCCCCATGTCAAACCTTTAAGACCATGGGTAGTCAATGTTTTATTCTCTGTTTCCAGCTGCTGCTTATGACCATGAGCTGTGGTGTTGATAAGAACCACTCTTACAGAACTCCAGATACCAGAGCAGAAGTAGATACTAATATACGGATGGACAAAATCAACATTAAAGGATTATTTCAAAGGTAATTTGAGTTCTGAGAAAATGAAAATAATCAGGTATGTTCACAAATTAAGTTGATCATATTTTAAATATAGCAGTCCTCCACTAAACTGCTTTTTTTCAAGTTTTCATTTAACTATTCATGGTATCATTTTATAATAGGTTTGTTCATGAAAGCTTTGTACATAACAATATTTTCAGGGGTCAGAGTGTGGAGGGGAATTAAACCCACATTCAGGTGTGTGCACTTATGGTAAACAGAAGGGTTTAACTTTATATAAAGAGTATTCTATTTTACACAAACATTTAGCCTCCAATATGTTCTCTTTTTCAGAAGATTATTAAGCACATATTGCATTAGATCTGAGATCTAATCAGTTACTGTTCTCAGTGACAGAAAGGCTAATATTTTCCTCAAGCCAAAAGAAACTCAGCTTCCAAAACAAAAACTACTATTTCTTCTCAGCCAAAATAGCACTAAAATACCAAACCATGTGATATTTCTTTGAAACACTAATTCAAATTATCTTCAGAATACAGTTCCTTGGAAAAAATTTTACAAAATCAGTGAGTAGGTGTGAAACTTTGAAATTTGTTTTTCATCTCTTGCTTCATATGGGGCTAAGTGCTAAGGTTACAGGTCAAGCAGCATTTGATTAGACTAGTTGTGGATATACTAGGATGTTAACAATAGTTAGGAGTGGGAATTATTACTCCTTTTCAATTTCATATCTTGAAAGTAATAATAGCACATCCTTGGAATTAATGTTTAGAAAATAACTAAATTAGCCATAAAAAAAATATAGAGGAAAATTGACATTAGGCATTGGAAAAAGATACCACCATCCTCAACAGTAACCTAGTGTCAAATATAACTTGCCTTTTACTCACAGGTTTAAAACTGTAAACAAACCCCTCAAATGCAGCACTTTCTAGTAGCAATACATAGTGACACTTCACATTCCCATGGTATTTCAGAATGTCAGGGCATTGAAATGCTCAGAAATGCCTTCATGTAATCTGTTTTTGCCATATAATATTATGGCTCTCTAGTGACTAGCCATTATTTCAAGACTACAGGGTTCATGCTGCAGTATAGCCAAGGGCCAAATCTAGACTTAGGGACAGTGGAAGGTGATGAACTAAATGTGCAAAAGATCTTAAAAGACTGCTTTTAAGTAATTCTGTAAAGATTGTCTCTTTACACTAGTACACTTTTCTTTACACGAAAAGGTTCTTTTAAAAAGTAAAAGCCCAATAGACAAGCAGTTCATGCTAGTAAACTACAGAATCATTAAGGTGGAAAAGACCCTTAAGACCATTGAGTTCAACCACTAATCTACCACTTCCAGGTCCACCGCTAAACCATGTCCCTAAGCACCACATCTACACATTTTTTGAACACTTCCAGAGATGGTGAGTCAACCAGTTCCCTGAACAGCCTATTCCAATATTTGATGATCCTTTCAGTGAAGAAATTTTTCCTAACATCCAATCTAAACCTCCTGTAGAGCAACTTGAGCCCGTTTCTTCTTGCCCTTTCACTTGTTACCTGGGAGAAGTGACTAACTCCCACCTGGCTACAACCTCCTGTCAGGTAGTTGTAGAGAGGGGTACGATCCCCTCTTGAGCTTCCTTTTCTCCAGGCTAAACAACCCCACCTCTCTCAGCTGCTCCTCATAAGACTCGTGCTCCAGACTCTTCATAAGCTTTGTTGCCCTACTCTGGACATGAAATGGGAGACTTATAACAACTCTGGCCTCTCTGCTTACAGACGCCCTCAAAAAAGAGCACTGGGCCAACCCTATTCTAAAACCACCCAGGGAGTTTAACCTATGTGATAAATTCACTCTTGAATATGTCAAATATTGAATATGACAAATATTGAATTTGTCATACCTTTACCTCTAGTCACACAGGTTAAATCATGTAAAATGTTAACTTGTAAGATGCAAAATAAATCTGGGAATAACCTAATTTCTGTAATAACATTGAAACTTTTAAATGTGACACTGCAGGCAGCATAAACCTCACTGTAGCTCTATAATTTGGCCTACTGTTTGAGTTTAAAGAAATTCAGCAGAGTGAACTCAACTGATTTGATGCACACTAAGAAGTCCTGGGACAATCTATGAAATTGGTGACTATGAACTTTATTCTCTAGAGACTGTCAATCTTCCTTAATAATTCCCAGGAGACTAAAAGATGCAAACGTAATTGTTTCCATTAGGTTTGTCTGAACACATTTGCATTAACTCACATTTCTCTTTGTTACTGCAAACTGTGAAAGCAGGCTCTGTGAGCACCCAGGGATTTTTATCAGTCATTTTCCCTGAATGAACTTGGTTCTGTCCGAAAGTGCCAACCTGCAGCACTGCAACTCCTGCATTCTTCTTGTAGGCTTCTTTTAAGTCCTTTCACCCCACTGCTGGATTTTCATTGATGTTGCTTTCTCTCATTGTCTGTCTTTATGGGAATGTGATCATAGATACACAGATTCTAGAAAAAACAAAACAACTCTTCCAGAAAAAGACCACAGCTCTTCTACCTGCCAAGACGTTTGTTACTATATATGAGAGAGGCCTTAACTCCAGATACCCTTCATTATACTCTAATGCTACCATCCTGCATATGTAAGGAACTTATTTGTTACTTTTTAAGGGGAAGGGGTGTTGGGGGCCGATATTGTGTCATTGCCAAATATGAAACAAAAGTCACTGTAAAGTTCAGAAAACATAGGAAAAGTTTGTGATAAATGAACCGTCCTCACTTTCAATAGTTTATTTTCAACCCCGCTTAAGACAAAGAGACTGACCTGAATTAATGAGAAATTTGAGAAGGAGAAGCTTTATGGAAGTTCCTGCCATATCGATCAACTTTTATATGAGCTTTTATTTTAAGTGAGCTGGAATCACTTTATTAAAACAACAATTTAACTAGTCAGACAAGAGCATCAGGAAAGAAAGCAGTAGAAGAAGAAGTTCAAAGAAAAAGAACGTGACATATGGACTTCTTTTCATTTGACCTGGAACTGTAAGGAAATGGCCAATATTAGAGTCTCTGGTGAGATATCATGGTCTTTCTGTTTAAATAAAACAGAATATTATATTTTTAATGTTTTCTGAAATATTTTATATGTATTTAAAGGCTTTATTTGATTTTTTTTTGGTGATGGAAATATTCAGAAGTAAGCCTCAAATGTTATTTTTAAGTCTTGTCAGGCAATTTGGTTACTCTTGTAAAAGAAATACACATTATTTTAGAGCCCAGAGTTTTACTGGCCACATCTCCTCCCCAGTGCTTGAGCACATAGCCTGACCACAGCCCAGCTGCATGCCAGGATACTTATGAACATGTACTTCAGTTTCCCACAGCAGAAAATCCATGTGAAAGAGCAGCAAGTTTCTGCGCAGTCCCCCCTTTCCAGATTCATCAGGGAATGAGGACTGAGCGTTACTGTGCCAATTGTACCTAAGTGCAG